ACATTGTCCGGTTTTCCCTTCTAGTCTTTAGGCTGCTCCTAATGTTTATGTTAATGGTTTTAATGAGTTGATTGATGTATTTCATTTCTTTGCAGGTACAAGTTCAAATTTCGAATACCTTCATATTTTTCTCTAGTTATTCGAAGGTACCATTGCTTTTCCTAAGACATTTATTTTTAATACTGTATTTTCAAACGACATTAATTGGTACACACTCCGGTTTAGCAAATTGCATAACATACTCATTAAAAATTTACTATTTTCTAGTCTAAAATTAAAGACAAACAAACTTAAAGATGCAGCCATGCATATAAGATGTAAGAATCAGCTGAATTGGCTGTACTTATATTGTCTTTTGATAGCTGAACCAAAACGAGTGTCAAAAAGTGTGTTGAACTGAGTGTATGCCAATCATTTTCCATTTTGAAAACTCTGGATGGTTTCTGCAGTTTCTTCCTATTAACAATCAACCACAATGGCCTATTTTAATGCCTACTTATTCATATATCTTTCTCTTCTTGCACCAGTCTTGCAGTGCTAGAGGGAATTGCTATTAGTTTTGATCCAAATTACAAGGTTTTGGGCAGTACATACCCATGGATTGCTAGAAAAGTTTTAACTGACAGCTCACCCCAGCTGAGGTCTTCTTTGCAAACCCTACTTTATAAGGTAAATCTTGAAAACCCTTTTGAGCTATACTTGTCTAATAATTTCCTGTATTTTTTATTTTTCTTGATCTGTAAATTATTATATTGTACTTCTGATTATTACATTGCAATCTGTTAGGAAGGTATTTTCAGAATTGACCGACTGGAATCTCTACTAACAGAGGTGACTTTCCTGGATTTTGCTTCCTTAAACGACTTCACCACATCTTTTATTTAATTTTTAGTTACCTCTTTTCACTCATGCATGTACACACCCACATAAACCCACACACTCACAGACACACAGACATAAATAAGATCCTCCATTTTGATCAGCTAGTATCAATTAGCAAACAATCATTGAAGTATCCAGTTATTGCCAATTTTATTTGCTTCATCTTTTTATGATTTATCCAATCCCATCAGCTTAGTTTATTTGGTTCCCCAATGACTCTTATGACAGTCACTTCGTGCTGGAACTGAGAATGCCAGGGTGAAGGAGCAAATAGAAAAGACCAATTCCAGAGTGGTTTTCAAGGAAATCCTTTCATTCACATTGACTGAGAAGGTACCCTGTTGCCTTGGATCACAGTCACATCAAGATTCAAAAATAATCTTGAGTTTTCCTTTTTTCTAATTTTAACATATGTTGGCAGGGTGCCTTTGTTAGGGAAATACTTCTTGAAGAATTCACTAAGGTAGCGTTTTGGGCCTTCATGCTATATTTGGATTTAGAAATTACTATTAGCAGAGGATAGTTGAAACTTTTGATGTCAAATACAATGATAAAGAGATCTACCTTAAAACTTGCAGAATACAAACTATTTAGTGGGTGCTACTAAACTGTTTCTTGTTTGCCCTCACATCAAGAGCAACCAATACAGCCAAATGGAGGACCCTAAAGTAGAATGTGATTAAGTTGATTGTGGACTGAAATTGCATTCTGTTTGGAATAAAGCAATTAAGTATTCTTTATGGTTGCCCATTGTTTGCAATTTCATTCATTAAGATCTACAATCCTAAAAGCACCACTAATACACAAGTTGACCTGTGCTGATTCCAAAAACAGGAGAGATTGAACCAGACTGTATAGTAACATGTTAATACATGTGCTACACTGTGTGAGTGGAAAAAAAGGACTAATTTCAGATCAATAACCAAATCATTTTTCTCTATTTTTGCCACATGCGTAGCAATTTTCTGTTTTTAGAGATGTCTTTCTGTTTATCAAAGGACAAGCTAGCTGGATCTTTAATTATATTTGCTGATAACATCAGCATCTTTTAGTCATAGCAATTTCGTTTTTCCTTGAATAGACAATCTAGATGCGTTGGTTGTACTTAGTGTCTGAAATTGATTTCTTTAAATTGTTACAGGGTTTGGATGCACTTGGGTTATCAACCCTAGATTCATTAAGTTCTGTGGCTCGTACAAGTATACCCTTTGCTGATTACTTTTCATTCTCCTTAATGACTGAAGAAGACACAGTCAACTTGAGAACATTGCGTCGTATCTTGTTCTTGTTGACAGGTTCCCAGAGTAACGAAATCACTGCTATGGTGAGAGCTTATGCTTCTTTGCATTGTGTCCCTACTCTTCTAGATTTGAACCCCAACTCATGTTTGATCTAAATGAAGATATTTTGACCTTGTACGTTTTCATCTTCAAAGGTGATTGGGAATAGAAGGATATCTTAAGGGAAACTTGACACATGGAAGCCTTGAGAGAACTTTTGGATCACTTTTGGATCATGTTAGAAATGCTTTTAACAAATAATAAAGCAGCTTTGGAGATAGATTTCATGCTGGACCTATCACTAGAAAACTACCTTCCCAATTTGCATCATTTTCATTTAATGGGAAAGAATTTGGACAATGTTAGATGAAAAAAACCTCGTAAAATTTAAGATTAGTTTTAAATGCAGTATACAATTTAACTCTTCCTAATGTGTTCTAAAACATAACTTGATATTCAGTAGTTGAACTTGCTTTATAGGAATTTAGGTAGGCATATATTGTTCAATAATGTGCTAGATTGGGCAGCAGTAAAGGCAATCAGATTTCATATAGCTGGATGGTTGACCATGTACCTAATAATGATTTTTTTTTTTTTTTTTCTTTGTTGGCCATCATAGCTAATAATGAAATGGATGCAATCAGACTTGTCTTAGAAGCTTAAAGTGCTAAAATCTCTGTGTATCATATAACATGTAAATGTTTGGATTGCAACAAGCTTCTATGTATTGTCTTGTCAGAAGAACTAATTTTCAGATGCTATTTTGTAGGAAGTTAATGGAGTTAGTGGGAACAAGATTGAAAAGTACTCAGAAGCATCACTGATTTTCTATCAACCTGCATCAGTTTCAGAAATTCAGCTCATCCTTTCTGTTATTCCTGAGGTAAGAATGAGGAATTAGCATACCCATTACTTGTAACCTTCAAATGGCATTGACTTCAAGAATCAAAATGCATACTAAAGGTCCTTATGCGACTCTATAAAGGTGAAAAATGTGTCAGATGGTTGCTTGATATGGCAGTATGCTATAGAACAATGAACCTCTGAGAAGTTATGTAGAATGACAGGGTGTTGCAGAAAACTGGGTGTTGAATAATTTCTGGGAAACATCTCAATGAAGTAACAATTACTCATGGGTTTTCAATGGTTGGGCATAAAAAATGGCATTTGACTCCAATGTTCCATTAATTTTACCTTCCATGACCTCTGAATGATCAATAGGCCTCTGCTTTGATTGAACAGGTGATCTAGCTGTGTCAAAATATTATACCCCCAAATTAGTGTCTTATAATTTTAATGAATTCTCTATTTAGCTTTATATTTGCATTAAATTTCAAGAACACAAGTTTTTCCTTGTCAGTCGTCACGTATCATAGACATACTAATACAATGTAATTTCTAAATCTCTTCCTAATTTACTTCAATTGACTCTTTGGCATTAGTTATGTGTCATGCCCATGAAATGCCTATAATTTTTGGATTACCTTTCGAACTCATGTTTATTTACTAGAGCATCTTTGTTTATCAAGGAAATACGTGCTTATTTTCGCCAACTATATAACTATCACCATGAGTATTTGTCGCAGCTCCCACAAGAATCGCAACAGCAGTTGCTTCGCATGCCATCTGATCTGGTTGGAAGACTGATCTCTCGTGCCACTGCTAGGACTATCCGAAGGATGTTCTTGTGATGCCAAATCAAGTTTCAGTGATGCGGCCACAATTTTTCTTGTTTTCTCCGCTTGACAAACTACGCAAGAAGTAGAATTTTTCGAAGTGCAGCATAGACCGTGATGGGTTAACATTTCCTGCAAATTGATACTAGAAAGTAGAGTAGAATTTATACAAGGCTTGCATACATTTTCTGTACAATAGAAAATCTAGACTTTGAATTGCTTTGTAAAGATACCTTTTATTTCCTATTTGGGGAAACAATTTCCTTCATCTGAAAGGGAAATTTATTTTCAAACTTCTCTCTTAATTTTTCTTGGACTAAAACTACTGCATGCATTCATATTTATACCACTACTACTAGGAATTATATATCAAATAACTGCCAAGAGGCATGAGTTTCATAACATTTTAAGGTCTATGAAAACAGACCCTTTTGGATGCCCTTATCATGTGTAGTTGAAACTTGACACATTTATTCATCTTTTAACTATACATTTAATCTGAAAAACAATACAAAAGAATAGCCTATAACATGTTTTCCAGAAAGGGTTTACAGAAAATAAATTCAAACAGAAACCCAGAAATCCAGCTATTAAGAAAGCATTGACGTTGACATATTGCTATTTTCCTTTTAGATGCTTCCCAATCTGTACAAGAACCTGCAGAAATTCAAGATAAGAGAAATCTTCGTCAGAAATTCAATTGTTTTCTCTTCAGATTTCTTACTTTTCGTACTTTATGATAAAACATGGAAGCACAAAGGTTCAAAGTTAGACCTCCATTGCTATGGCGATTGGTGTGAGATCACACATATCTTCAAGACCCAGATTGGCAGCAAGATCTAACAAGTAAAAAAACAAAGTTAATGAATGAATGTGTTTACTGATGCGTGATCAACATAATGAATAATGGTTAGTAGGGTAAGTTCTGGAGTCAAATGCTACCCTAACTATCCCAGTTTGTTTATAGCATCAATATTTTGATAGCAACATAAAAATTAGTGCAAGGCAGTCTTATATTTCACCGTATAATAGGATATAACAGCAGAAAGAAAAGGGGCAGAGTATGTTGAACGTGTAGATGCATAGAAGACATACGATAGAGGGAAACCCTAGCATCAGCATTGGCATATGCATCAGATCTCTTTTTTGAAAGAGTAAATAGTCCAACAAATGCCTGCAAAGCAGTTGAAAGGAAGCATAAGAACATGTCTATATTTATAGAAGTGCTAAAACAAGTCCAAAATTAGGTGTTGAGCATGGCAAAACTAATGCTACCGCAGTGTAAGCGTCGCCTGAATCAAAATGCAAAAGAGGTCTAGAATAAGTTCCAACAGCAGCAATCCTCCTTGCCAATGTATCAAGAGGTACATCTAAATAAACAGTAACCCCCTGCTTCATATAATGCCTGAAATTTAACAAACAATCATGGAGCTTGTTCATTTTCCCATTTCCATGGAAAGAAGAAGAAAGATATGCATCTGTAACCCCATACCAATTGATAGGCTGAACTACTGCACCACCGCCTGTAGCAACAACTTGTTGGGGCATTAAGGACAGCTCCTGCAGTGCCTCACTCTTTAAAGAAGAGGAAAAACCATTAACCATTAGTTTTAGTCTCGCGCTGGTCAATAATGTTATCATGGGATCATAAATAAATATGTCTAAAATTGCAGAGAGACAAAACCAGTGGGGATCAGCTGAGATATGTGCATGGAAAATTTTGTTAAACAGCTAATCTGGAAGGGTGCATGAATGATTTTCAAGGACCCCAGCTACTTAGCTGCCTCTACTTCTACAACTTGTTGCTTCAATGCATTAATTAATCATTTAATCTAGGTCAAAAGAAGGTTAAACCACCAGGTTTTCCAATGTCCAACTAGTTGCTTTGGAAATGGTGCTATTCCAGTTGAAAAGAGTCTAAACTGCAAAAAATAAACAGATCTTGTTTACTCACTTAGTTAAATGATGCATACAGTAAAAATCCACTTGAAAAGGGAATAAATAAAACCATTCCCTCCATAACAATAGAAGAATCTCTGCTACAAAAATGCATCTTCATACTTCTGAAGCGGTTATCACCCATACTACTTTTTATTTGCATCAATAACGGTAAAAAGTAAATAACTACTAACTAAAAGTATATGCTATAACAAGTAAGCTTGGATCCACTTCCTGAGTGATACGAATTAAAACAGAACCATTTTTTATTGACAGTGTATTCAAACAACAGAAGACACATGCACTCAGAGTGAGTTCATCAGCTATCATTGTTCTATATTCATAAACTCACATCTGAATAATGTGGATGTCAAGAGTTTATTAAGGCTCTAGAACTTGGACCATAGAAATTAGATGAGACGGTTGACAGGTGATACAGGTGTGTAGATTACCAACCTCATTATCTCTGAAGAATTTCTCACCATACTGGTTAAATATTTGAGCCACAGACTCTCCACCAATAGCCTGCTCCACATAGCAATCACTGGAACACAAACAAGCAATAATTAATCCTGATCAAATTAGATATAGTCTAAGAAACATTAGGATATTGTACTCCTCAAAATTCCTTCCTTAATTCACATTTGTCAACTAAATTAGGTTTTGCCTATGACGATTAACCGATTATCATCTTATGCTCTTTCTCCATTTGAATTAACAAAATCGAAACCATCAAGTAGCCTAAGAATTTATTTGCAAAACCAGTATGCCAACAAGAGCAAGTATTACTAAGCCAAAAGCTGTACTCATTCTTTGTGTTCTTTTGTGTTAGACACTGAAATTCATGGCCCTAGCTGATGCAAAAAAATTTACACCCTTACATTAGAGAAGAAGCTGCCAAGATGGACAATATAAGATTTCGAAAAAGACAAGTTGGATGACACAAAAGGACGAAGCAATCAATTTGAAATGACGTACAAAAGCAAAGGTTAATTTCTCATCACATGATACAAGGGTCCAAAAGAAAATACATTAATATCAAGGCACTCACCTGTCAACAAAAGAATAACCCAGCGCCTCAGCCAAAACTTTGCCCACTGTCGTTTTTCCAGAGCCCATCATCCCTGAGTTTTAAGCATCAAAGATTTTAAACACCAAGACTAATAAAGAAAGAAAAATGCAAGTTGGAGGTCAGAAATAAACTAACCGACAAGAAATATACAGCGTCCATTTAGGCATGAAGCAACTTCTCTAGCTTTCCTCTGCAATCCACAAAACCAAATTAAACAAATACCAGAACTCATGCAACATCAACTAAAAAAGACAAGGTTGAAAACAGAATATAAAAGAAATTTAGATCCTGTCCAGCCCCATTGGGTTAAATTGAAAACCTTCCCTACCTTCAGCAAACAATTTTTATCAAAAGATGCATACAAGTTTCCCAATTCAATTGTTGAAGCTGCAAAGCAGGCATCATAACAAAAGGAAAAGTCAATATCAACATGATCTAAAATATAAAGTTAAAATAAATCTCACACATAAGACACTTTTTCTTGAAAACCCTCAAATTGGGTATGAAGAATTGAAACCACATATATTAAACTCAAGCCATGACATTTCCTACAAACTAAATGGATGATTCAAGTTTGTTTACTTACACTCAAGACAATCCTTACGACCGTGTGAAAGCACCAAAAACTTTCTCTGCCCAGGTGAAGTTCTTGTACATGCTGATTTGCTTAAATCTATCCAATTCATGCCAGATTTTTTCCTAATACTTAGATTAAGCATCATTCCTCCCACCGCCGCATGCGGTTTCCCTCCAATTCTATCACAACCAGTCCATGGAAAAAACTGCAGGGTTGAACCACACATAGCTTCCATGCTTTTACTGTGCATTTCCAGAATAAAGCCTCTTCTGATATCTTCAAGCAGCCACTTTCAAGAGCAACTCGTGAGTTCAAAATCAGATGAAGAGATTTGTAGTGATCATGCAAATGCTGCAACATAACAGAAATCAAAATTATTTTTACGATTTTATCCAGAAAGGAATTTTTTTTCCATCAGCATATCCAGAAAGGATTTTACTGTACTAACAAAAAAAGAACCCCAATAAATTTATTGTCAGGAAAGAAAAAACAAAAATTTTGAAACTCCGAGGTATGTGTAGGGAAATGTTTAACCAAACCAAAGACAAGGAAAAAGCCTGTTTGGTAGCCGAGAAAATTCAAAGCTAAAAAAGTAAAAGGTAGTAGAAGAAGTAAAAAGGAAAAAAAAAAAGAACCGGAGCCCATAATTCTGTTCGGTTACCGAGAAACCGTAGGAAAGATGACGATGATGGGGAGGAGATAAGAAGTTTAAAAGTGGAAGCTTTTAACTTCATGGCATTGCTTTTCGGAATCAATTTCTCGGGAACCAAACGGAAAAGCCGGTGATTAAAATAGCTATTGCCAGTAAGTAGGAGCGAAGAAAAGCATAAGGAGGAGAGAAATGGAGAAGTACCAGGGGAGGAAGGGGGCGCAGGATAAGCAGAAGGATGATGTGCGCATGTTAGCAACGACGAGAAAGGTAAACGAGGAGGAGGACGTAGGTAGGAAGAAGAAGAAGAAGAAGAAAAAAAAAGAAGAGTCGTATTTTTTCATCTTATATTTTCATTCAGAATCCGGTGTTACTGTGGCGGACTGTAACACAC